TCCTCCGGTTTCATATGCAAAAAACATTATTGCGCTAGCTTACGTGGTTGCAGAGCTACCGGGATTTAAAAGTAGTTACGCAAAACAGAGCGTGCTGCTCTGACCGGCTTTAAAGGGTTAAGAGCACTCGACTGTCCAGCTGCATGCTCATTGGCCAGTTTTGGCCTGGTGAGGGTTGTACTCTGGGTAATCTTCTTTCTCAAACGTAGAATGACCAAAATCTACAAAACTTTTTTTATCTTTTGTGACTTGAAAGTAGCCACTGAGGTCCAAGCAGAGGGCTGAGATCTTCACTCTGATAGGACCAGATGTCTTCTTGCAGGACTTTGTGCAACAGTTTTTCTTTTCATCTTAATAATTGTTTTTCCAATGTCTTTCCAAAATCTTGGAAAAGTGTTGTCACCTTTCAGTTTTCAACCAAATCTCGATTGTATAGTGACGCATTTTAAAAGCCGCAGCTGACTGACGGACGGATCTGTGCGCTCGCTGGATTTCTGATTATTCGTGAGGGGCTCTTTTTGTGCCATCGCCTGCTTAGAGGGAACCACCACTGTTGCTCGATGCAAAGTTGTTCAGAGTGATTTGATTTATTGGTGACGAGTTATTTCTATTCCAGAGTTAATGGGGTGCTGCAATTTGTAGATCACGAGTGCTGAGGGTGTCATGTTAACAATGCTGTCACTTCATCTCCAGCTAAATGTCTGTGGAAGATTTTGGAGTAAACGTTGGACCGGCGTGTCTCGCACCATCAACAAACACGAGTTCATCTCTCCAGCAGACTTCTAGAAACTTCTAGAAAAGCACAAAGTAGCCCGACATCTTACCAACACGTGTTTCCCATCAGTTCTACGACGGTTCTGTGCAGGTACCAAAAACAGTCCATGTTTCAGCAGGTTTGAGGGATTTTATGCGGCAAAGAGACGAAGACCAAAATAATCCTTCGTGTAGGACTTGAGACCCGGAGGTTTCCTGCCAGTGTCAGCTTTCCAGGTGTGGTTTAAAGGTATCGTTGGTTTGCTCTTTACCACCAACTGCAGTTGGTCCTCCTGCTGACCAGCCAGCATCACCAAGTGCGTTTAAATGGAGGAGAATCCTGTTTTAATGCAACACTGATTTTCAAAAACAGTTTTTTAATGAAAGAGTTAAATTTGCTCGGTCGTCACTTAAATAACAAACACAGAAATGCTGAAAAAAGCCACAGACGTCTGGAAACATGACACACCGCATGCAGTCCTCAGGAAGCAGATCATAATATTCATCACGCGTGCAATAAAATCCAGAACAACATTTCTGTGTCTTCATTTAATCGTTGGATCCACAACGTGGTCAAAGCCTCCAGATAAGCACACTCGGTAAAGCCGCAGTCAGGAATCATCGACAGTCTTAATCATCTTTAGGCTCAGAGACGAGCAATAACCGATAGGTCAAAACTTTATTACCAGCTACTGACACCATAAGATGAAAGGTCAAGTGAGGCAAATCGTTTTTTTCAATTTAGATTCAGCTCGGCAAAGCAAAACCATATTTTCTGCGTCTTCATTGTGGTTTTCAGTCGATCGATGGACATCTTAATCAATAAAGTGCTGTTGACCCAGACGCTTCGGTCCGAAGGTCTTGATACAAGTAATTAGATGAGTGCACAACTTTCTTAAGCTGTTATTGACCTTTATTTTCAAAACGTCCGAGAGCTCTCAAAGCATCGATCAGAACCTGTGCAGAGGAAAAATGATCCGGGCGCAGGTGCAACGTTTTTCCCGAGATCGCTGGGTTCACGGCGAGTGACATCACGTGTGAACGCCACACTGTTCAGATTGAACACTTCAGGCTCCAGCTGCCACTTCAGTTACTGGATAATTTTTACAATGAAATCTGAAACGGAGTCTGGCTTTGTGAAGCTAATTTGCTGTTAGCTAAGTGGCTCTCCAAAAGTCTTAAAGTCGAACTTTTTCTAATGCAGTCTGGCTCCATCAGGGCCAGCTGCCACTTTCACACAGCAGCTACTTTGAGCTGATTCAGACGGAGAAACAGGAGGTACGATCAAAAAGACTTCGCCTGTGAAAAACTAAAAAGATTTTCTTACATTTGGGAGTTTTCGTGTGAGTTTATGTCAAGGATAAAAGCTGGTTCTCCATCTACAACCCAAAGAGTTCAGTATCCAGGGCTGAAAGTGGCGTAACCAGAAGCATCTTATACTCTCCAGGGTCAAAATTCTGCTATGACTTCCTGAGCTGTTTCCTGAAGCTTCTCAGTCACCTCAACACACTCACTGCTTGTCCCGTGAGAGATTTGGCTCCTTGCAATGTTAAAATTAAATTCAAGGCAAAGGTTTGCAAATGCACGTGCAGGCCTTCCACGGAGCTGCTTGCTGGTTGTAGGCACGATCACCAATATTCTTATGGCCACCAACTCAAAACTATCCTTATCAAGTAGGGATGCACCAATACCGGTATCGGGTATCGGTGCCGATACTGTAAAATGTGTGTGTACTCATACTCGTAAAAGTTAACTGATACCATGAACCGATACTAACTTATTTCATTAATCAGAGGGTGGCTTGTCATTTCTGTTGTAGTTCTTTAGATTGGCCACTAGGGGGACATCCCGCGCTAAACAGGCACAGGTTTAGGCGAGTGAGACTGGCGGCTCCAGATAAAAAAGAGAAACTGGAGGCTGCTGTAGCTAGTGTGTGTGTGTGGTAGAAGTATCGTTTTTTGTACTCTGTATCGGTAAGTACCCAGATCCAAGTATCGGTATCGTATCGGTTTGAAAAAATTGGTATCGTTGCATCCCTATTATCAAGCTTTCTGATATTTAGCTGCTCCATTTCTCGTAGATGTCTTGATGAATTTTTAAAGGTTTATGCAAACGCTGCTCAATAAAAGCTGTGTGAAAGGCACTGAGTTCGTCGTGAACCTTGGTGATTCAGTCAAACTGAGGTGTGAGGTCAGCCCTTATGAGATGTGTTCAAACAGTTAAAGATGACCAATGAGAGAAAGAAACAGAGAAGGCACCGTGAGAACTGGGAAGGTTTCTAATGATGACGGGATGCAGCGTTAGTAGAGAGTTCTTTATCATCTGCATAGAAAAAATCCTAATTCTTTATTTTATTATTATTCTACACTCGTCTAATTAGCAAACTCTGCTTAATAAGCATTACACCAGGGGAAGAATGAGTCCTAACCTTTAAAATGATCACAGACATAATTGAATTTGTGCTGGAAACTGACAAAAATGACTTCCTGTATGCCTGCAGATTTAGTTTCAGAAAATCAGAAAGACTTTAACCCCCGAGAGGAAAGAACAAAAACAAAGAGGAGCTTGGCGACGGCACAGATGTGTTTGATTTCTTTTGTCGTATTTTAGAAGGTTGTATATAGGAGGTCTATTCTGACCTGTATCAATAGCTTCTGCTTCATCCCAGCCTCTCTCTCTGTCTGTCCAAATGTCCCTCCTCCCCTCCGATGAAGCAGTTGTAATGTCATTATATGTCAATGGACCAGAAACCCTTGCCAGCCTGTAATCCTTAGTAACCTGCACGAGATCATAGACAGTCAAGTGTAAATCAAAAAATGAAAAGGATAGATGGAGAGAAGGAGAGGAGATAGATAACAGGGGTGTCCACATTGACATATAATTTGCAATAAGACGTGACACAGTGATAGAACCAGGGGTTATGGACGGGGATGTCGGAGACAGATCTTATTGCTAAAGGGTGACACACCCGGCGTGCACACTGCCTGCTCACACTTTAGTTTATGGATCCACATCGAGGCCTTCCTGTTTGTCCCCTGTCACATGACTGAAGCCTGTCTGTGAGGTCAGCCCTGCGTAGTGCTGCGAGGTGTATGTTGATGTGTGGAGGTAGGACATGGAAAGGCAGGTCTGAGGTCAGCTTCGTGTTCGAGCGGTGTCTTTGGTAGCGCCCGTGTCCCCGTTTCAAACAATATACAGGCCACACAATAACCACGGTAACACACAGCACTGTATACTTGGTGGTTCTCAACCAATAACAAACGTCATGTATGACTGAAAGGAGGAGTCAAAGGCTGAATGGAGCTAACTCGGGTTTAGCATCGCAGCTTCTGTCATCGTACGTTTGTGGAGTCAGAAGCGACCACATCGTAGTGTGGAGCGCCAAGTTATCAGCTGATCATTAATCTCTTTGTCCCGCCTTCCTCCCCTCACTCCTAACCTGTTGCAGCAGATGGCCCCGCCCCTCCCTGTGCCTGGTTCTGTCGGAGGTTTCTTCCTGTTAAAAGGGAGTTTTTCCTTCCCACTGTCACCAAATGCTTGCTCACAGGGGGTCATATGATTGTTGGGTTTTCTCTGTATTATTGGACTTTACTTTCCAGTTGTCTTGAGGCAACTGTTGTTGTGATTTGGGGCTTTATAAATAAAGATCTGAGTAACTCTGGTCACTCAAAGCTTATTCAAATGATGTATGTGACATAATTTCAGTCTCACAGAGGATTGTGGGGTTTTTTGGTAATTTGAACTCAGTGTGGAACTGCCAAAAGCTGCAGTTCCTCTAATGTCCACTTGGGGCATCAGTGAGTCTTACTGCATAGACTCCGATGTTGACTGTCAGGTGGTGACACAGGCGGCTGCAGCTGCTAGCTGTCTGCTATTCTCCACCTCAGCCAACTGGACCGTGTTTGTGCTGTTGGAACATTTTTAATGACATTATCTGACCAACTATACTGTTGGGACGTTGTTGTACTAACAGACCTTTCTAGAAGTCTGAGCTCCAGTTTTGGTGCACGGGGAGACTCTAGGATGTTTATTAGCAGATGTCTGGGTGGTAGAGATTTTACAGGAAGCTTTGTGCTGCAGGTCAGTGCTTTCTGATGGGCTGCTTGTTGAGTTGTGATGGGGCGTCCAAATTCATCTGTAGTTGTACGCTGCCCTGTGTTGGTATTGTGTTAGGTGAGGCCAGCTGATCTCTGTTCAAAGCTTTTATCCTCTCACACTGACACAGAAGCAGTTCTCTGCAGCCTGATGTCTGTAGCATCCCTCTGCACAGAAATCATCCGACTGAAGGTGTTTGTCCCATTTAAACTTTCACTCGTGTCCACATTTCATGCTGAGTGATGTCACAGCTGTGCTGTGAGGAGATTGGCTGCATAAAGCTTTTGTGGCCCTTTCAGGGAAAAAGCTCTAAAAAGCCTCTTTGCACAGCAGACAGTTGGAGCTCAGCGAGGTGAGCAAAGTGGAACATTTAGCAGCTAAAGAGCCGCACGTTCACGACTCCGACGGGACGAAACTCGATGAGCTGATGCTGAATTTGTTTTGGAGTCAGATTTTGTTATTGAAGCTTTATGGGCTGTTGCAGATGTGCAGCAGCAGCAGTCACTGAAACTGTCAGACTCTTATCTGCAGAGTTCAACAGCAGCGTAAAATTACACGGCGCACTTGTATGTCAGAGTCTATTGTTTGGCACAGGGACAGCGTCACTCAGAGGTTAACACCTCTCAGTTTGACAGGTTTGTGTTTCTTAATGACGTCGTGTTAAATCGGAACAATATGATCCAGTTGTGACGGGATGTAATTGAAAGACGTTTCAATTACGGGATGTTTCCAGCTTTCGAGGAGGCGGCCGTTCATTAATATCGTTCGTCTTTCACGAACCGCAGGTGTAACTATTAGCTCGTCTGTGAGAGCAGCGTGTGTTTCGTTAATAAAAGAGCGAGCTGATTCTTATTCAGTAGGCACTTGGTGAGGCTCCAGTTTCCAACAACAACAGTGCACGGTTGCAGGTCGAGCTGCGTTTAATGTGACAAACAACTTTTTCTTTCCACGCTAAAAACTCCGTAAGTGTCCTTCTCCGCCTGAGCGAGCTCCCACCCTCTCTGCTGCTAATTATAATCTCTTTTAACAACCCCTGGGTGCAGAACATTACCAAAGCCTCACCACACAAAGCGAGTTTATAACAATAATTCAATACCGAGCCCTTGAACGCTACAGAGCCGCCGCTGCGGGAATCAATCATTAAAGTCTGCGGGTGTTTCCACGCTGGCTTTGACTCCTGACTGGCTAATTCGGCACTTCGTCGTTTCATGAGCACATTAGTAAAGGTAATGGTGAGGTGGAGTGTGCCCTGGATGAGCTCGGGTATTCGGGACAGGGTGGGTGGGGAGCGATGCACGGGTAAAATAAAAACATGGAGGGGGTGTAGTAATAATAAGAAGAGACCAAATTTGATTTCAGTCAGCGGCACAGAGCACATCTACCTACTCTGCCTCCCGCCCTGCCTGACTGCTAAACCTCTCTCCTCTACAGCTGGGTGTACTGGAGCTCCACTAAGTCGGGGCTCGCGTCTGCGGCTGGATCCTTAAAGTAGAGTGTGGCAGTGTCCTCCCCCCGCTGGCCCGTCCGCCGGGCCCTGTGCTCGGTCACCTCTTTGGGCTGCTCCTGGCGGCAGTGGTTGCTGTTCCACCAAGCCTCCAGCCCGGCCACCAGGCAGGCCAGCAGCAGGCCCGCGGCCAAGATGCAGAAGATGCCGGCGAAGCTGTGCAGCTTGAGGGAGCGGCCGTCGGGGTGGGCGCTGGCGTGGCTGCTGAGGTCGCAGCGGCCGGCGCGGGGCCACCACTTCTGCTTCATGATGTCCAGGTCGCCTTTCTCCTGCAGCTCCAAGATCCTGGAAGAAGAGAGGAGAGCAGCAGGTGAGACGCAGAGAACAATTAATCCTTCTTACCTGAAGTAAGTCTGTGACCCTCGGGCGGGACGGCGCGCTCGCTGCTGTCACACAGTCTTACTGCGGCGTCTCCTCACATGTCACAGTCGCTCTGCAGCGCCTAATAAATCCCGCCTACTCTGAGAACGCACCTCAGCGTCGTGCTTTGTCCAGCTCAGATAAAAACGAGCGATTCTCCTGATTCTCCAGGTTTTATTTAAATGAAGTGCGAGATGTGCCGAAGCACGGCCGAGCAAAGGCGTCCGCTTAACACTGATTTCCTGCTCTTCAAAGACAAATATGTTTCTTTTTGTCTTTACTGGCAAACAAACTACAGAGAAATAAAAGCTGGTGTTGACATTTCCAACCCGTTCTAGCTTCCTGCGTGCTGTTAGATCGCTGCTGATGCACGGCGTCTGAAAACAGAACGACACAGCAGCGAGCGACTGACACGTGTGCACCGATCACGCCTGCTCCTGACAACAAGAACAGTCAGGATCCAAAGTTTACGATCACATGAAAAATGGCGAACAATCACATTTTGCATGTTTGGATCTTAGCGAGGTTCCAAGTAGAGCTTCAAGCTGCGACAAGAAGAAACCGACAATGTTCACAAAAGGAAACGTTTTTTTGCCTTTGCCATCAGAACGTCGTGACAGCGTGACTACCTGACAGGAAATGACAATAAATCCACATTTTTGACCTTTTAAAAGCAACTTTTGATCAGCCTGTTTCAGTTTAAGTGTTGCTTTCAATAAATCGCAGGCTCAAAAAAATGTTTGTGTTGCTCCCATTTCTTCTTGTTGCATGTTGAAGCTCGACTTTGTTAAGATCCAACCGTGCAAAATATGAGTTTTCACCATTTTTCAGGTGGTCTTAAGCTTTTTTTTATCAGGGCTGTATTAGTAACGTTACACTTTGCTCTGATAACAAAAAAAGTGTAGAAGGTACAACAGCTCAGACTGAGTCAAAGCAACAAAGAAGAAATAACAGGACAGAGGAAAAGTGCACCGACTGAGCTTTAAGGATGCTGCAAAGGAAGCACAGCCTCTGAAGGCGACGCCC